CTTAACAAATTCTGGCTAAATTTTACTAAATTGAATTGCCCCTTCCTGGATTGAAAACCCACCCTGACCCAGTGTTGGGAATGGGATTTCCTTATCCTCAATAGAAAATACAAGACAGTTTCTTTTGTTTAAGTAGCAAATAGAGTTTAAATCAATTATTATGGCAAAGAACAATAGGACTTTGTGCCTATTCTTCCATCTCATTTAGGTAATTATAACAAGAAGGCATTAATAAAGGTTTTTAGTCTGGACAAAAAAAGGAACCAAAAATTCAAATGATTTTAAAAATAATTGGTAGGTTTCATTTTATTGATGTGCATATGAACCAGGCATATAGTATGTAATATAGGCATCAAGTTGTTGTTCAGTCGTTTTTCAGTCATGTTCAACTCTTTGTGACCCCATTTGGGGTTTTCTTGGAAAAGATAATGAATGGTTTGTCATTTCCTTCTCCAGCTTATTTTACAGATAAGGAAACTGAGGTAAACGTAGTTAAGGTTAAATGACTTACCCAGGATCATGTAGCTAGTAGGTGTCTGAGGCTGGATTTGAACTCAGATTTTCCTGATTCCAGGCCTGGCACTCTATCCACTGAGCCACTAACTCCCCTCTACCTATTATCAGTATGCACTTTAGTAAATGCTTATTAACCGACTTGCATATGCCTGAAATAAAGCAGGTTGTAATAAGAAACTCATGCCTAATAGCTGGCAGTACTTTCACTTGGTACAGTTTTGCTTTGTTTTTTGTTTTTCTTTTGTTTTCTTTTGTTCTGTTTTTTACTTTCTCTCCCTAACTCTTGTTTCCTGGATCCTGAGATGGAATCACGAGAATTTCCTCAGGGAGAGTTCAGAGTTACAGCTGGGCAGGGCTAAATCAGGCAGTTTCTCATACTGTCATTCATTGAGCAAGGGTGGGTCTGGTAATTGATATAAATATCTCAGTGATGTTGGTTTATTTGGCTTCCTGGTGGGACTTTGGCATCAGTGCAAAGGTGAAGGTTGACACTCAACCCTTTGGGATTTTCTATGACAGAATTAGGAACCAATCTATGAGGGGAAAGCTTGAAGGGGAGAACAGAAGGTAAAAACGGCATCCCAAATTAAAAGATAACCCTACCAGATGGCAGAACTGAAAGTGTCTAGGATTTGGTGTCCCACAAACTCTATTCAAATTCTAGCTTTGTCACTTCTCTGGTGGGTTCAATTATCATCTCTATGCAAATGACTCTAAAATCTATATAGTTAGTCCTCCTCTCTCTCCTGAACTCTAGTCCCACATCAATAACTTCTTTCTGCTCCTACCACTTTTATATCACATAAGCTTCTCAAATGCAATATGTCCAAAAAAAAAGATTCATTGTTTTCTCCCCCAAACCCATCTCTTCCTAACTTCCCTATTCCAACATCATTTTTCTAATAACTTGAGTTTGTACCTAGACTGGTCACACTCTCCCTTATTTGCTGTATCCAATCAGTTGCCAAGTTTTATCAATTCTACCTCCAATAAATCAATCAACAAACATTTATTAAACACCTGCTATATGTCAGGTACTGTGCAAAGAAGTGGAGATAAACAAAAGACAAAGACAGTCCCTGCCTTCAAGGACCTTATAATCTAATGGGGGAGACAAAATGCACATTAATATATATATATATATGATAAATAGGAAATGATTAACAGAGGGAAGGCATTAGAATTAAGAGGAGTGAAGAAAGACTTGCTGTAAAAAATGGGATTCTAGTTGGGATTTAAAGGAAGTCAGGGAAGTTAGTAGGCAAAATTGAAGAGAGAGACCATTCTAGGCATGCGGGATAGCCAGAGAAAATGCTTGGAACTGAGAGATGGGAGCATCTTCTTTTCGGAACAGCCAGGAGGCCAGTGTTACTGGATCAAAGAATATGTCTGAGGGAACAAGGTACAAGAAGAATGGAAAGGTAGGAAGGGTTGATTATATAGGTCTTTGAATGCTAAACAGCATCTTGTATTTGATCCTGGAGGCAACAAGGATCCATTAGTTTATTGAGTAGGGGAATGACATGGTCAGACCTGTGCTCTAGGAAAATCACTTTGGTAGCTGAATGGAAGACTGATTGGAGGCAGAAGAAGAGTTGAGGCAGGAAAACCCACCCAGGCTATTATAATAGTTGAGAAATGAGGTGATGCCAGCCTGCACTAAAGTCGTGGCAGGGTCAGAGGAGGGACAGGAACGTATGCGAAAGATGTTGCACAGATGAAATTGACAAACCTTGGCAATAAATTGGATATGGGGGTGAGAAATGATGAGTCCAGAATGACCACTAGGTTGTGTGCCTGAGGGACTGAGAAGATGGTGCTGCCCTCTGCGGTAATGGAGAAGGTTAGCATTGGGGAGTGTTTAGGAGGGAAACTAATGAGTTCCATTTCAGACACTTCAGTTCTTTCTCCTTCTCTCTACTCACACAGCTAGCATCCATATTCAGGGCCTCATCACCTTTCACCCTGGACCATTATAAAGATTTTTAATTGGTCTCTCTGCTGCCATTTTCTCCCTTCTCCAATCAATCCACAATACAATTACTAACGTGAACCAGACTTTCCAAAGTTCAATTTAATTCAATTCAACATACTCCCTCTATGCTCAAGACATTCTTCAAGGTACTAGAGATAGAAAGACAAAAATTAAAGTCTGCCATTGAGGAGATTACATTCTACTGGAGTGTGAGAAGAATAAATATATACACAGATAAATAAGTACAAAGTACAAAAAAAAAGGTAATACAAAATAAACTTAAGAGGGAGAAAGTACTAACAACTGAAAGGATCAAGAAGGGCTTAATTAGGAGCTACAGTCCCTTAGCAGTACTTTGAAGGAAGACAGAGATTCTAAGAGTTGGAGGTAAAAAAGGAGTGCTTTCCAGACTTGGGGTGCTATCTGAGTAAAGGTAATAAAACCACAAATGAAATATCATATATCAGGAACAAAAATAGACCACTTTGGTTTGTTGGAAATGAATCATGCCTAAAAGGAGATACATGAAATTAGACTGTAAAGAGAAAATGGGAGCCAAATTGTACAAAGCCTTTTTTTTTTCATTTTTTAAAATTAATTTATTTTTAATTATTGACAATCACTTCCATAAGCTTTTGAGTTTTAAATTTTTCTCCCCTTTCCTCCCACTTCCCTCCCCAAAATAGCGCACAATTTGATATAGACTATACATATACATTCCTATTAAACTTATTTTCACATTAGTGATGTTGTAAGTAAAGAATTAAAACTAATAGGACGAATCACCAGGAAGAGGAAACAAAACACTTTTAAAAATCAGCTAAGAATTTTTTTTTTTGGTATTTTATCCTACCTCAATGCAATAGGGAGACAATGAAGATATTTAAATAAGGGAATAATATAATCAATCTGGGTTTAAGGAAAAAGTTTGGCATTTGAGTAGAGGATGACTGCAGTGAGGGAAGACTAGAAGCAGGGAAAACAAATAGTAGGCTATTGTAATAGACCAAGAGGGAGGTTATGAGGTTCTGAACCTGAGTAGATGCTGGATGAGTGGAGAGAAAGGGAGGAACATGAAAGATGCCATTGACCTTTCTTCCTCACACCAAATAATCCCAATTTGCATAATTGTTTTTTTTTCTAGATGTAGGGAGAACAACACTGGATTTGTAGTAGAAAGCTGGTTTTGAGTCCCATCTAGAACCAGTCACTTCATTTCTAATGCTATTTTGTGATCCAGTGAGGTGAAGCTGGTGAAACTTACATTTTCTGCCTCACAGAGACATTGTGATACTTAAATAAAATTGTGTATGTGAAAAGGTGTTGTAACTACAAAGCAACATGTGAATCCATGCTGTTGTCATTACTTTCAAAAGACCTAAATTCTAATCTTCATTTTTCTCTGCTGGATTCCTCCCCTGTTCTCCCAAACTGCTTTACAGTATAATGCTCAAAGTGACATTTCTCCCTACAAAGAGGGACTATTTCTAATATTTCCAGTCCTCACTTCTTGAAAGCTAGCCCAAAAAAGACACATGTGCAAGGTGAGGGAGGGAGGAAAGTGATGCCCAAAGAAAGAAAATGTTTTTTAAAAAAATCACTGTGTGTATCAAAGGCCTACTATGTGCCAAAAGATGGTGAAGGATGATGAATGAAACACTCCCAACTTTCCAGGAGTTTTCATTAATCTAAGGTGAGACAGAGGGGCAAGTGACCAAGTCAGAAGTCACCTTTTGACTATTTAGGATCTTCACTTACCACCCTAATTGTTTAACAATGCATACCTCCTCTTAACTGTTGGAACCAGTGGGGGCTACCAGTTTGTAGGTAGTTTCTATAAAATATCCTTTCTGCAGTTTTCTTTATTTGGGTTGGAACACACTTGCTAAACTATTTGGATTTTAAAAAATACTTACTTTAGTGCTGCCCATGAAAAACTTTAATTATTCCAATAAAAAGATCACTAGTTATTTTTATATTATGTTTTAGTTATTCCCATAAAAATCACTTTTTTTTGCAAATCACTGCAAAAAACAAGAGATCACATCATTTAAATTTTTTGGTCTGATTAACAATTTGATGTAAGTGGTGATTTTTTTTTCTTTTTCAGAAATAATTTTGCCTCAAACTCAGAAAAAAAGATCTGGATAAAAAAAATGGAATCCTTAAGTCTCAGGTATTTTGTTTCTCACTA